TATATTCAAGATGTTTATTAAGGTACGATAGCACACAATCCTGCCATATGTCACACCTAGTAAATGTTTTAATATATCGCAAGCCACAAAATAACTATTTTCATTTGATCTTACTCATGTCTCATCGCTTTTGTCAAGTCATTGAATTCATATCTACCTAAATAATCTACTTCCCAATTTTTTCTCCATTGATGCACAGATAGATATATACAAACACATTATATACTAAACATATCAAGAGAAGCGAAAATAAAAAAAAAATATTCCACATCTCATGAACGTCACTAAAAAAAAAAAAAAAAAGGAAAAATCTAATTAAAACCAACGGCCTTTTTTTTCCTAAGACATTCCAGAGCACAGTGTAACAGCATAGGATTTTTCTCGGTGCATCCTTTTCCCTGTAGGATCTAAGGACGTGACCTCCGTGGCGTATGCCTGGCAAGGATGAAGTCCATGGATGGCATAGGATGTTTTAGAAGTCCTCTCGCACACTTGGTGGTCTTGGGTTCGTCCTACTTCGGAATAACAGACCTGGGATTTTAAAAGGAAAGGGGTAAGATAGGGGAGCGGTGGTGAGGAGAGGGTGGGAGAGGGGAGGGAAGAGGGGATGGAAGGAAAGAGGGAGGGAGGGAGGGAGAAAAGGAGGGAAGGAGGGAAGGGAAGGAGAGAAGGGAGGGAGGGAGGAAGAGAGGGAGAGGAAGGGAAGGAGGAAAAGGAGGAAAGAAGGAATGAAGGGAGGGAAGGAGAGTGGGAAGGTAAATAGAGAAGAGAAAATAGGGAGATGCCCCGAGGAAGGGAAGATAGGAGATAAAAGAAGAGATGGAGAAAGAAGGAAAGTGAGGACAAACAGAGACACAAGATAGATAAATAGATAGAAAAAAACAAGTAAACGAAGAGACAGATAAAGAAATATAAAGATACGAATTTACTTTTCTTGCTCTTATCCCAGACTTCTAAAAAAAAAATTAGTGACATGAAAAACCAAATGCATAGAATAGACACAAAAAAAACAATACCTGGAAACTTGTGGCATCAGTCTGGGGCCATGTTAGTGCCACACTCGTGCTCTGAGGGATGAATCTGAGAGCTGAGTCCGCTGTTGAGAAAGAGAGAGAGAGAGAGAGAATGAATTATCTAACTGAGGAATAAGAGAGAGAGAGAGAATGAATCATTTAACTGAGAAAGAGAGAGAGAGAGAGAGAGAGAATGAATTATTTAACTGAGGAATAAGAGAGAGAGAGAGAGAGAATGAACGATTTAACTGAGGAATACATTAGATACATAAGTTGATAGTGGATATATAACGTTATGTTGTGTCCCCGTGTGACTAGGGTAAACAACCACACATCACAACCGAACCACTATACTACCACATCACCGATTCACTATATCACATTGTCACTACATCACCACACCCACCTCATCCTCACTCCCTCCCTCCCTCCCTCCCTGGGCAGACCGGTGCAGAAGGTGAGGCCACAGAACACTATACCACCACATCCTCACCACAGAACCACTATGCACCACACCCACCTCCTCCTCCTCCTGCTCCTCGTCCTCCTCCTCCCTCCCTCCCTTTCTCCCAGGCCAGACCGGTGCAGAAGGTGAGGCCACAGAACACTGTACCACCCCATCCTCACCACAGAACCACCATACCACCACACCCACCTCCACCTCCTCCTCCTCCTCCTCCTTCTCCCTCCTCCTCCTCCTCCTCCTCCTCCTCGTCCTCGTCCTCCTCCTCCTCCTCCTCCCTCCCTCCCTCCCTGGCCAGACCGGTGCAGAAGGTGAGGCCACAGAACACTATGCCACCACATCCAAACCACTATACACCACCATACCACCACCATACCCACCTCCTCCTCCTCCTCCTCCTCCTCCCTCCCTCCCTTTCTCCCTGGGTAGACCGGTGCAGAAGGTGAGGCCACAGAACACTGTACCACCACACCCTCACCACAGAACCACCATACACCACACCACAACCACCACACCCACCTCCTCCTCCTCGTCCTCCTACCCTGGGCAGACCGTCGCAGAGGGTGACACCATAGAACTCAAGGTTGGCACTCTGCATTCCCGAAGGCGAGAGAGCCGCCACGTCTGCAATATAAGCCTTGCACTCGCCGAGGCCCTGCATCGTGTAGAAGGTATCAGCTGTTCGCTCGCAGAGGCCGGCGCTCGGGTCTGTCCCCACTTCGAAGTAGCACACCTGGGACGTTGGGATTTTTGGGATTGGAATGATATATTGCAAGATTGAGAATGGAAGTGAAAATGAGATTGAGGCTGAGATTGGAAATGAGAGTGAGACTGAAAGTGAAAATGAGATCGAGACTGAGATTTGAAAGGAGAGTGAGAATGAAAGTGAAAATGAGACTGAAAATGAGATTGGAAATGAAAGTGAGACTAAAAGTGAAAATGAGATTAAGGTTGAAAATAAAAATGAGATTGAGACTGAAGGTGAAAATGAGGTTGGGACTGAGATTTAAAATGAGACTTAGACTGAAAGTGAAGATTGAGAAAATGAAGTGAAACTGAAAATGAAAATGAAATTGAGTTTGAGACTGAAACTGAACTTGATACTGAAACTAATATTGAAACTGAAACTGATTTTGAACATGAACTTGAAACTAAAAATGAAATTAGAAATTTGAAACTGGGTGTTAGGTATGTAGTGAGGGAACTGGGGAAAGGAGATAATGAAATGTTGAAACTGAAACTGAAATGTTGAAATTGAATCTGGAATTTGAGATTTGAGTGATTATAATGAGGGAAGTTGTTTGTTAAATGTATTGATGAAAGTTATTTGAATGCCATGAGGAAAGTGAGTTATTTATGTATTATGGAAAGTGTGAGTGGTTTATGTATATTGAGAAGAAGAGTGCGTTGCGTTTGTATAGAGAGAAATGTATTGTGAACGTATTGTTAAATATAGGTTCTGTGAATATTGAGGAGAGTGTGTTGAAATGAGTGCTGTGTGTGAATTGAAAAGTGTATCTTGTTTGCAATGAGAAGAGTATGTTGCATATGGAAAGAGAAGTGAGTGATAACTGATAAAACCCCCTCTTTCTCTATCCTATCTCCCCTTTCGGCCAAGCGATAATTCACATCCCTTCCTCCCTCTCTATCTTTACTTCCCTTTTCACCCTCTTGATAATTCGCCTATCTATACCCTACCCCATTTATCTCCTTCTATCCTATCTCCCCTTTCGTCATTTATCGCCTTCTATCCTATCTCCCCTTCCGTCAAGTGGTTCCTCATCCCTTCCTCCCTCCCTCTCTTTACCTCCCTTTTCACGCCCTTCATAATTCGCCAATCTACTCCCTACCTCATTTATCTCCTTCTATCCTATCTCCCTTTCCGTCAAGTGGTTCCTCATCCCTTCCTCCCTCCCTCTCTTTACCTCCCTTTTCACCCTCTTGATAATTCGCCTATCTATTCCTTACCCCATTTATCTCCTTCTATCCTATCTCCCCTTTCGTCATTTATCTCCTTCTATCCTATCTCCCCTTCCGCCAAGTGTTTCCTCCTCCCTTCCTCCCTCCCTTTTCACGCTCTTCATAATGCGCCTACTTATTCCCCCTACCCCATTTATCTCCTTCTATCCTATCTCCCCTTCCGCTCCTCCTCCCTCACCTCGAACATGTAGCTGCAGAGGACGTGGTCGGGGTGCGGATGCCACGAGATAGTGATGCTCGTCTCAGTCGCGTCGATCTCCGTCCCGTTATAAGGTATACCAGGCTCTGTTTTAGAGAGGTCATTGGTTGAGATTTGTCCTTTTCGTGAGGTTTGAGATTAGTTAAGGTCTATTTATTGGTGTTTTCGTGAGTTTTTTTGTTAGTTAAGGTCTATCTATATTCCTATTTTTGTGAAATTCGTATCTGGTGAAGGCCTGTGTATAATCATTCTCATGTAATTCGGGTTTAGTTAAGGACCCCCCTATGATTATTTTCGGAGGTGTAGAAAACGGAGGTTAGCAGAGAAAGGGCTAACGACGTATCTATATTTTTGAAATGTCTTAAAATATTATTCTCTCAGTTCTCAAGAAACCGACATTTTTGAAAGTACTTTTTTTAAGAAATGGTAGAAGGAAAAGAAAATACAAATCAATATGACTTGACAATAATACAAAAATATCAATGAATTGTAACATAAGGGAAGCACAATCGAATTATTTTATATTTCGATAGAAACACAAATTAATGAAATAAGCGGACAAAATTATTTTGTTTTGTTTTTATCCGTTTGCATGTGTAAATAAAAACAAAAAATAAAACAGTAGCAAAGAGATACTAAGTGAGAAAAAATATGACTTTTACATCGAATAAAACCGAATGAAAAAAAAATCAATCAGATAAAAACACACCTAAAACAATCAAACAAACAACAAAATACCAAAAAAAAACACCAACCAAACCACATAAACAAATAAATCAAAATCAAAACCACCAGAACCCCACCTTTATCGAGAGTCACAGCATCCGTATAGGCCGATAACCCAGCCATGTCCGTTCCGTGGAAATCGAACACAGGAGTGATGTTGAAAGCTTGCAAGGAACACGGGTCTACGTACGTCACCAGGGCTCGGCAATATAACTGCGGGAGACGAGTTTAATTGGTAGGGAGATTTGCAATGTTGCAGGAGAGGTCACTTGAAGCTGGGGGGGAGGGGGGAAGGGAGAAGGGGGTGAGGGGAGTCGGGAAGGGGGTGAGGGTAGTCGAGAAGGGGGGGAGGGGAGGGGAGAAGGGGGGTAAGGGGAGTGGGGGAGAGGGTAAGGGGATGGGGAGGAGGTAAGGAGATAGGGGAGAGGGGAGTAGGGAGGGGGTGAGAGGAGAGTAGGGTGAAGGGGAAGGGAGTAGGAAGGGGATGAGGGAATTGGGGAGGGGGGATGAGGGAAGTGGGGAGGGGAGGGGGTGAGGGGACTGAGAAGGGCTGAGGAGAGTAGGGACGGGGGGGGGGGTGAGGGGAGAAGGGGGAGGGTTATGAGGATAGATTTCACGATAAGTGTTTGCAGACGACAATGTGGAGTGACATTTTATAGTTCGTGTGTGACAAGCTGAAGGGGTATTCTGTGTTCGCGAGATTGTAAAAGATTTTTGTGTTTGGGTTTCAAGGAAAAGGTGTTGCGTGTTTATGAGTTTATGAGACACTGTATAAGATAATATGTGAGATTAGGGGGGGGCACTGTGAAGTATAGAAAAGTCGGTGGTTATCATGGGTATAAGAAACACTCTCATGAGGGTTCATGCAAGGGGGGGGGGGTATGTAGATTGCAGACTTGCATGAAAATGACAAGTGTTTTGAGGACCACTCGGGGAAGTGTGCGTGCGAGTGAGTACTATTATTGTATAACACTTGTAAATTATACTAAAATTATTCAAATGTAAAAAGATCCCTTGCCTCCATTATAAAATGTGATTCGTATAACTTGTCTCGTATACCATACCACGTCTTGATATAATCTCACCGTATAAAATAACATAATATAACATATTGTTGATCCGTAAGTAACTTGCTGAGAACGATTTCTAGACTCCATTATCCAGTATATCAAGTATTATGTCCTAGTATTCAGTTTATATATAGAGCAACATACTGTCTATTATACGAAGCAAATATCGACATCAGAAGCTGACATCATAGCAAGTAACATGTTGAAAGGGATTTCTGGACTTCATTATCAAGTATAATTCAAATAACAAAACGTCCATACCTTATCGTATCTTGACATACCATCTATATACACAGCAAAATTTCACACAAACATACTCTCTACTAAACGAAACCCATATTAGCATCAGAAACTCACATCACGACAAGTCACGTGTTGAGAGGGAACACCATTGATGCTAAGGTCGTAGTAGTTAATGGGATAGTCTGAGGGTGTGATGTTCCAGTGGAGAACCACCCATGTCTCGCCAACATCGTCCACCTCGAAGTCGTAGATAAGACCTGGAAGAGATAGAAGATATAGGATAAGATAGATGTAAGATAGATATTTGCTGGAGAGGTGATTAAAAAATGATGATGTCTCTCTTGATTCTTAGTAAGGTGGTTTGTTGAGTAAGAGAGGTTTAAAATGGACCCCAAACTGTATGTATTTTTAGTACCACGTCGAAAATTTTGTAAGTTCACTTTATATTTAGCGATTTTTCAAAACCCTTTTTAGCGAGAAAATGGGAAGCTTTAACTCTGGCGATGTTTTAAATCTAGCGGTTTTTAAAGTCCAGTCTAGCGTTTCTTTAAGTCCAGTCTAGCGGTTCTTAAAGTCCAGTCTAGCGTTTTTTTCAAAGTCCAGTCTAGCGTTCTTTTTAAGTCCAGTTTAGCGTTTTGTTTTTTTTTAAGTCCAGTCTAGCGAGTTTATTTTTGTAAGTCCAGCCTAGCGGATTTTTTAAAGTCCAGTCTAACGGTTTTTAAATCCCAGTCTAACGGTTTTGTGGAAACCTCATTGGCAACAGTGCCCCTTCTCCGCGTCCCAACCTTACCCCCAAGAATCCCCAGGTCGATGTGACACTTCCCCACGTTCCCCACGCCGTCCACGCCGATGATATCAACCTGCGTGGTGCAACAGGTGGCAGTGTAGTCGACAGTGACGTCAGCTGTTGTCCCCGGCGTGAATCCTGAGACGGTGACACTGTCGCCTTCAGGAACAGCGTCCACGCGGTAGAGACCTGGGGGGGTAGAGAACAGGGGGAGGGAGGGTGTTAATTACTAATGATTTCTTACTCATATTCGGTGATTTTCTATGGGGAGGTAGAGAACAAGGGGGGAGAGGGTGTTAATTACTAATAATTTCTTACTCATAATCAGTGATTTTCTATATAATGATATGCCAGTGATATAACTAAATGTTGATATTTTAACGTAATAATACGATATGTTGATACAACGATAAAATATAATGCTAGTATGACAATATAACAATACAGTGTAACCCATAATCCGATACAGTGATATATGACATAATATGATCGTTAAAATTACCAATTTCTGATATCATAAGTAACAATGCAGCATGTTGATGTAATGATAATATGGAATGATATGACGGCATAATGATACAGTGAAAGGATAATAAAGTAAAAAATAATAGCTTGTATAATGTGAAACTCCCGTGGTGGTCCTCAGCATGATGAAAAAAGAAAACATCTATGTATTAAGGAAAGCTAAATAAAAGCTAAATTAAAGCTAAAGATATTAGATTAAATTGAATTAAATTAAAGCTAAATTTAATTAAAAATAACAATATTTTTTTCCGTTATCAGAATGCTCCTTACTGATAATGATATTAAGAATTTTCAATAACGTATTTTTTTCTTAACTTCTGCACACCTGATCGAGTGTCCCTGAGCGTTGCATGAGCCGTCCATTGCATGCTGTTGCAAATGCCATTGAAGTTGAAGCCAGTGCAATTCGGACTATTGGACAGTTCGCATATGGGTATATCGAAGTCGGATTCCTGCAATACGAACGATTGAACAGCAATCAATATAACAACATATCATTAGGAATAATATGTGATTTTAAATTGTTTGGAAATATCCACGTGAGAAAGATGATTGTCGGATAAAAATGTAAATTATGAGGGAGAAAAAAGTTATTTTCTTAACAGGGTTACACTAAATCATTGAAAGAATAATCAAGATAACTTATGAGAAGAAATGTTCCTATAAAATAATAGACAAAAAATCAAACCCATGATATTATTCAATCCATTAATAAATCTAACGTATTTTATGGATATTTAATTGACGATTTTTTTTTCAAGGCTGATAAAGAAACAATCGATGATATTGTAAGAAACGATATTCGAAACAATCAAATCTGACAAACGAACGAAAGCAATCCAAGAAGAAAGAAGAAGAAAGGAGAAAGAAGAAGAATAAAGAAAAAAGAAGAAAGGAGAAAGAAGAAGAAGAAGAAGAAGAAAGAAAAAAGAAGAAAGGAGAAAGAAGAAGAAGAAGAAGAAGAATAAAGGAGAAAGAAGAAGAATAAAGAAAAAAAGAAGGAAGGAAAAAAAAGAAGAAGAAGAAAGAAAAAAGAAGAAAGGAGAAAGAATAAGAAGAAGAAAGAAGAAGAAAGAAAAAAAGAAGAAAGAAGAAGAAGAAAAAAAAGAAAAAAAGAAACAAGAAGAAAGAAAAAAAAAGAAAAAAGAAGAAAGAAAGAAGAAGAAGGAAGAAGGAACAAAAGAAAAGCCTCATCTCACCTGCGGAAGAACAACGAAATGCGCAATGGCACTGTTGACCGATTGCGTTTGCTTTACACTCTGAGCGGTAACGATGACGGTGCTCACAGTGCCGTGGGTAGCGTCGAGTGGCACTTGGAAGGACGCCGTGACTGGCAGCGACTCGTTGTTCTTCAGGTATAGCCTGGAGGAGGAGGAGGAGGAGGGGAGGGTTAGATGCTGTTGTGTTTGTTATTTTGTTATTATCGTCATCATTATTATTATTATTATCAGTACTATTATTTCTTTCTCTCTCTCTCTCTCTCTCTCTCTCTCTCTCTCTCTCTCTCTCTCTCTCTCTCTCCATTCCTCCCTCCCTCCTTCTCTCTCTCTCTCCTCCCCCACCCCTCTTCCTCCCCCTAACCCCTCACCTCCCTCCTCTCTCCTCCTCCACCTCCCTCTCTATCTCTCCCCCCCCTTCCTTCCCATCCCCCTCTCCCTCCCTTCCCTCTCTTCCCTTCCCTCCCTCACCTTACCCCCCCCTCCCTCCTCCTCCTCCTCCCTCTCCCTCCCCTCCCTTCCCCTCTCCCCCTCCTCCTCCCCATCTTCCTCCCTTACCTCTCCGGCTCCATCTTCACGAGGAATCCCATATCGTCTGTGCCGTGGATGTTAAAGTAGGACTCGAGGCCGTAGTTGGCGACGACGAATTTCGCTGAAGCCGAGTCACCCGGTTTGGCCGAGAGATCCTGCAGGGTAGCCCACACCTCCACGCTCGTCTCCACGGGTGTTATCAGGACGGGCATCATTCGCGTGAACATATTGCCTGGGGATAATGGGTTGCGTGCGCGTGCGTGAGTGGGTGTGAAAGTGGATTGAGGTAATGAATAAGGAGAGAAGGAACGAAAGAGGGGAAGAGAGAAGGGTATGAGTAGATGTTGAATAAATTAATATATCAATGAATACATAGACATACACACATATACTCACACAAACACACACACACACACACAAACACACACACACACACACACACATACACACACACACACACACACAAACAAACAAACACACAAACAAACACTCATACCAACAATCACTCAAACAAACAAACAAAACGCCCCTCAACCAGACACCTAAACCCCTACACTAACCTGAACTAACATGACCCGAGAGCTTGACGTAGAAGGGATGGTCAGGCAGAGGCTCCGTGCGGATGTACATCTGGTCAGCCACGTCCCCTGCGTACGCTATCTCTCGAAGGACCGTCCCTGACTGTGGCGGATTGCGGACGGGAAGGGAGAAGGGAGGAGTGCGGATGTCGTTGTTGGTTTTATCAATGTTATTATTATCATCATCGTTGTTGTTGTTATTGTTGTTTTTGATATCATTACTATTATTATCATCATCGATGTTGTTGTTATTGTTGTTTTTGTTATCATTGCTATTATTATCATCATCGTTGTTGTTGTTATTGTTGTTTTTATTATCATTGCTATTATTATCATCTTTGTTGTTATTGTTGTTTTTGTTATCATTGTTATTATTATCATCAGCGTTGTTGTTGCTATTGTTGTTTTTGTTATCATTGCTATTATTATCATCATCGTTGTTGTTGCTATTGTTGTTATTATCATTATTGTTATCATTATCATCGTTATCATTATCACTGTCGACGTTAGTGTTGTTATTGTAAATTATCATCATTATTACTATCGCTACCATCACCACTGTCATTATCTATTTCTCCTTTCTGCTCCTTCTTACCTTGTCCACAAATTCGACCATGTTGACGTTGGTGACCTCGCTCTCCAGGTGACCCACAAGCGTGACCTCCAGGTAATAGACAGTGTCTGGTGGTGAATGAATAAGTGAGATAGTAACTGAATTTATGAATGAACGTGTCTCGTTGTGAATGAATGAGTGAGATCGTAACCGGATTTATGAATGTTAGATAGGAACTGAAATTACTGAACTGATAGGAATTGAAATTATGAATGAATGTGTCTCGTTGTGTATGGAAGAGGTAGTAACTGAATTTATGAATGAAACGTGTCTGGAAGTGAATGAATGAGTGGGATAGTAATGGAATTTATGAATGAACGTGCCTCGTGGTGTATGGAAGAGACAGTCACTGAATTTATGAATGAATAAATGAATCAATGGGTATGCAGGTAGGTAAATTGTAAGTAGGCAAGTAAATATGAAAGTGAACAAACACAAGAGGAAATAGATGGATGAATAGACTGATAGATATATAAATAGACAAACAGATACACTGGAAAATGCCAAGACAGGTAACTACTACCTATACTCCTAATTAGGGATTTCTTGCCATTCTTGTTTGAAAAAAAGGTTCATAGTATAATGAATTCAGAAGAAAAGAAAAACAAAAACACGTAGACAAAATGAAGAAGGATAAAAAGAAGAGGAAAAAAAGAAAAGAAGAAGTAGAAGAAGGCAAAAAGGGAAGAAGAAATAAACAAATATATATATATTTGTAGAGAGAGAGAGAGAGAGAGAGAGAGAGAGAGAGAGAGAGAGAGAGAGAGAGAGAGAGAGAGAGAGAGAGAGAGAGAGAGAGAGAGAGAGAGAGAGAGGCGAGGCGGCAAACAGACAAAATGAGATAGAATCCCCCCTTACAACCCCCCACCCCCACCCCAGCCCTTACTGGTAAGCGGACGCCCCTCGGTCTTCCGGTAGTGCGGGTGTGGCGGCGACGGATCCAGGAGAGCGAAGTCGCCGAGGAAGTCCAAGGACGACGTGGCGGAGACGGCGAGGGCGTAGGCGGAGGCGTAGGCGGAGTCGACGGAGAGCTTCCAGAGGCCGTAGCGAGGGGCGAGGAAGCGCACGGCGAGGAAGGTCCCCGTGTGGGAGACCACTTCCACGCCCGGAGTCGCTTCCAGGGCGCCCTTGTCCGTCAGGTCGTAGGATGTGCCTGGGGGAAGGAAGAAGGATGGTGAGATAAGAAGGAATGAGGAAGAGGGCGAGGAAGGTGAGAGGATAGGGAAGAGGGAGTGGAGGATGATAAGAGAGGAGGATGGTGAGATAGTGAGGAAGGGGAGAGGATAGGGAAGAGGAGGATGGTGAGATAGGAAGGAAGAGGGAGGATAGGGAAGAGGAGGATGGTGAGATAGGAAGAAAGAGGGAGAGGTGGAGGATGAGGGGAGGATGGTGAAAAGGTGAGAGGAAGAGAAAGAGGAGGAAAAAGAGAGGAAGAGGAGAACGAGAGAATAGGGAAGAGGGAGAGGAGGATGACAAGGGGAGGATAGTAGAAGGGCGAGAGGAAAAGGGAGAGGAGGTGAAGTGGATTTGAAAATGGAAGGGGAGGAGAATGAGAAAATAAGGAAGAGGGAGAGGAGGAGGATCAAGAGGATGGTGAGAGGATAGGGAAAAGGGAAAGGAGGGGGATGAGAACATAGGGAAGAGGGAGAGGAAGATGATCAAGATGATAATGAAAAGATAAGAGAGGAGGAAAAGGAGGAGGATGAGAGGATAAGAAATAGGGAAGGGGGGAAGGATAATCTCCCTCCCTCTTCCTCTTCCTCTTCCTCTTCCTCTTCCTCTTCCTCTTCCTCTTCCTCTCCCTCTCCCTCCCTCCCCTCCCTTCCCTTCCCCCCTCCCCCAAATGAAATCACACCCCAAATAAAAAAATTAAAAATCCAAAAAAATCTCACCTGTGATGTCATAAAGAAGAGCTTGACTGATGACTCCAGTAATCCGGACTTCGAAATCCAAGACAGAGTCGTCGATGGGGAGGGACACTGAATGGTTGCCTGTGATTTCGGCCAAACTCTCAATGGTCACCTGTGGTAGAGGAGGAGGAGGAGGAGGAGGAGGAGGAGGAGGAGGAGGGGGAGGAGGAGGAGGTGGAGGAGGTGGAGGAGGAAGAAGAGATGGTGGAGGAGGAGGAGGAGGAGGAGGAGGAGGAGGAAGAGGTCGATGTCATGTGCAGGAGATTTTGTCATAGTGAAAGGGAAGGGGGAAAAGAGAGAGATGAGAGGGAAGGAGGGAAGGAGGGAGAGAGGGATGGAGGGAGAGAAAGAGGGTTGAAAAGTGTCCATGCAGATGCTAAAATTCCTGCAATATTTTCCTCAAGTTACTGCCGTTAAAAATAGACCTAAGAATGCATTTAAAAATCTATTTCCTATATTTTTACAGCACACTCTATCCAATACTTTATAAATTATTTTGTTGAAAAAATGAAAAGTTAACATAATATTATCTTGAAGTTGAAAATATAAATACAAATGAACAATAATAATAATAATAATAATAATAATAATAATAATAGTAACAGAAACAGTAATAGTAATAGTAATAGTACTAATAGTAGTAGT